CAAAAAAAACCTTAAACTTTTTTTTATGTTGTTTCTTAAGTTTAAGTACATCTGAGTGGAAGAACTGCACGTGAAGGGGTTGGGGAATTTGGGAGTGAATGGATCACTGACACATTCCCTGTCTGCCAGGGGTGAATCTGGCTGCAGTGGGTCTGTGGGTCCAGGTAACTGAGAGGGAGTAAAAGTCACCACGGGTAGAAATTTGTAAAATAGAAACAGTGTTTCCCATTTGTCCCAAATTTGTAATGTTTTTGTGTTCAGTCAGTGCCTCACTCAGTCTTTGGAGTGGAGAACAAGTGCATTATCAGGGAATGGGAAATGATGTTCCCAAGAATTCTTTGGCTTTTGGAGTGAATGTAAACAAGTATTCTTACCACTCATGACACTGGAAGAGTTTAAGGGCACGATATGGGTAGTTGTTATTGATGGTAACATCAATAAATAACAAAACTATTTAATATTAATCCATATTATTTATTAATAATGTTTACTTCTTGAAAAATTCTGTGTGAATTAAAAAATCGGGGTGTAACATCAGAAATTAATTTGCCTAAACCTGCATGGTAATGTGTCAAAGTCACACAGTAAATGCAGTTATTTATATGTTCCTGGCATTATATATTCCACGGGTACTGTAAGTCTAAATGGATCAGGAAATGATTGTATGAAGTACATAGAGAAGATAAACTGGAGATTTTTGGTGGCTACCATCAATACAAAAACTTTATAACTGTATAATTCAATCTTATCTGCAATTTCTTAAGATTAATAATGTGGCAATGTAAGTTGAAAATTACTGGGGGGTTGGTTTTTCTGGCAAATTTGGAATTTAATATTAATATACTTTTTGAGGCCCAGTACTGACATCTCAGAAATAAAAATAGCACATAAAAATTCAAAATCTTCCCAATATTACAAGAATTATTTAGTTTCTCAGGCAAGATCAGGAGATTTATCTCTTTAGCTTGATCCTGAGATCACACAATACTGGTCTGTCACTGATCTGAGAGTCTGAAATGCCTGAATGATAAGTTGAGCTGGTGCTTTCTTGGATAAAAGGTCAGGTTTGGAGGGAACATCCCTTAAGAGGAGGATTTTTTAAATAAATATTTGTTGTTTGAAGCTGGTGGGGCATCTCTGAGATTGGAATTGTCTCACCAGGGACACATTAACAGGCAGAGAGTGGCACAAGTAGCCAAGTGCAAGTGGAGTTTCCCTCATACCTGTACAATTAATTTATGGATAACTAGTGAGGCTTCAAAAAACAGCCAAATTCCCACACACCAGTGAGCCCAGCAGCTTCTCTCTATTCTCCCTGTGCAATCCCCATCCTGAGGGAAGCCCTTCCCATCATCTTTCTCCTTTGCCATTTTCATCTTCCAAACGATCTGCATTGCTTTCTCTCCTCATTTCTTTCTTTTGGTTCTCTTTTTCCTCCTGCTCCTCCAGTGGCACTGCTTGGCAGGCACACCCAGTTTTCCTTCTCCTGGAGCATCTTCTGGAAGGCCACTCACGTGAAGTCTCCCAAATGCTTGCAGAGGATTCCGAGATCCCTGGGCAGAGCCAGCCCCTTGTATCTCTTAGGTCTGTTCTTCAAGGTAGATTAATTGTTGAAGTGATGCACCAGTTGCATGTATATTATACAGTCATTTTATCACTTATGTAGACTCCTGTGAAAGGAGCATCCTCCCCATTCCTCAAAATATTCAAATCCTACCTTTTCTGACTAACACAGGGGGCACCAAGCTGAACAAACTAGTTATACATGCATGGGAAGTAGCAAGCTGAAAGTAATTGTGTATTCAGTTTTAATGGAGCTGAATCTCCTGCTGAGATTTCAATATCTGACAGCATTGCTTTCATTGCCCCAAATGCCCAACCTTTCTCTAATGTTTGACCTTGGGTATGATTATATTTCTGGATGTATCTCAAATGATGCAAAATCATTTGCCTATATCAGTCATCTCTCGCTGACAGTCCTGTTCCAGCTCATGGCAGAAGAGAACAAGTCTGGTGGCATTAACAATAGCTGAAATGAGCTTTGATAGATGTTTCTACCCTTTCAATAAATACATAAAGCATCTCTATAATGTCATTTTGTTAACTGATAAACAACAAAAGGATGAAGGCATTCACTTTTAACTACATTGCATGCCATTATTTTCTCATTGCCTCACTTAGGGTACAGAAGGAACGTGACCCGCAGAGCAGAGGGACAGGCCTGCAGCTTTCAGGGCTGGTTATTTATATGCTTTGATATCCTGAGGCCCACTTGCTAAATGAGGGCTGTGCAGGTGTGTGACAGGCTCTACCACAGCGTTTTTGCCCCAAGATGTTGACCCACAAACCTGGGTCTGTTCTTGATGAGTGCTCAACATGATTTCACGTAACCCACAGCACCAGCTTTGCACCTCTCTGTGCCTGAAGCTGAAGTGCAGCGGCAGCTCCTCACAAAAATCCAGTTCTTGGTTCTTATCTCTTGGGTTTTTCCTCTCTCTGGTCTAACCTTGTCCCATTATTGGCCTTGTAGTTCTTGCTCTAAGAAGCTCTTACTCTGTGCTGGGCTGGCAGAGGTGGGTACAAGGAGCAGCCTGTTGAAGGCAGTTACAGATGTGCACAGTGGTTTGGAGATGATACAGCACTAAATTACTGCAGTCAGGAAAAGCTGCATTCCCATTCCCTGCATCCCCACAGTGAACTATGCACTGGGAAGGAACTGGGAGGTGGCAGAGCTAGAAGTTGGTGGCTGTGAGGAAGAGGAGCTTCCAGACAAACGGGGACAAAGGGCCTGTTTTTCAAGAGTGACTCCACCAGGGCTCTGTGTGATTAATGTTCCTGTGCTGGTAACAAGAACGTTTCCCTAAGGAGGGAAAACTTGATAGGAGCCTCTTTTTTCAGGTCTATGTAAGCTGGGCACATTATTTTAATAGTACACCATTAAGGTATTTATCTTAATTTAAAAAAATAATATTTCCCTTGTTGTTTGCAATTGCCCACTAGAAATGAAATCCCTTTCCTGGCTGGGTATCCCTTGCAATCCTGAGCTGGTTGTTATTGCAGGTTGCCTCGGGAATACCGAGTTACTGAGACCCAGACTTTCTTCAGAAATACTGAGGGGAGTTTAACAGCATTTGAAAACACAGATAAAGAAATACATGGACCATGCAAACAAAAGTAAGTGGGATAAAAAGGGATGTGTTTACTAGAGTGGTGCATGGAAAAGAAAGGTCCACAAAGAAGCCCCTTGGTCTGACTACGAGACTTGTTAGGGATGCAGAGCACTGCCCAAGCTCACTGGAGTCTGAAATCCCCAGGGCAGGTTTGGGTTTCTTGCTGTGGACTGCAGAAGGTGATTTAATAATTCATTTGAAACTTTGCAAAACTTTCTGTTGACTTAATTTGCTCTCTCTTCGAGCAGATTTTTGGTCTTGCTCAGAGATTTTAACCCAGTGTTGAGGAACTACAAATAGATGGAGATCTAAAACCCTCGACTAAAGAGCTTCACACGTGTCTGAGCTGAACACGGACAATCTGACAATTGGTTTGTCTGAATTTGGGAAGAAAAGAGGGCCCAGGAAGGCTTACAGGTGATAAATTTGCACAGGCCTGGCTTAAAGCAGCCTCTCTACTTCCCAAGAACAAGGGCAAAGAGAAAATAAGGTAAAGAGAGGCACTGATGTGTGGAAGAGGGTAGAGACTTTTTTGGGGGTTTAATAGTGAAATAGGATTTATTAATCAGAATAAAAAAGACTTCCATGAAGAATTCATTAATTTATGCATTTTACACAAATGCAAGATACTGCCTTCAACACCTTTCTGCTTCTACTGCTAATAAGCCTTCCTGGTAAATTTATATTTACTTCTCACCAATGTTTCAATGCTTCATTAGTGATTGTTGCCTTGTTTTTTTATGTCAACAGTCTCTCCTTCTGAGTGGCTTTTATTGTGGCACATATTCCAAATAATTTGTGGAAAATATGCCATTTCCAAAGAGATCAAAATGCATATTGGCCACTTTATTCTGGTGCCTTCCTCTGTGGTGGCACCTTGTCTTTTAAGATAACATATTAAAACCATGCAACTACTAATCATTAAGGTACTACAAACACCCACATGCTGCTTTAAACACATTTTATGTGATTTTTCTCAATTTTATTCTCCCCAGGATGTGAACTTGGTTTCCAGTAGGCAACCAAGGTTCCTCAAATTTCTGCCAAACAGGTCAAGAAATAAATCCATTCATAGCTCCATCTGGGAAATGGACTTTAAAGCAGAAAGAAGTCTTTCCCAAAGATAAGAGGCTTTTGTTTTAGGGAGGGAAGATCTGTCTATAGGTCATAAAAACATTAACACATTCTAAGTGAGCATCCCAAAATGAAACACATGGTGATTTTTTCATTGCAGGCACGCGGGGTTGTTGTGAAAAATGGATGTTCCAACTCAGAAAGTCAGAACAACGCGTACAAGTGGCCCAAATTGGTTTTGATTAACAAGGTTTTCTGCCTGGAAGTCACTTTATCTTCATCCCATTAGCTCCACTCCACAAAACAAATGAATCCAATGCATTAGGCTGAAACACATTCTTGCAGGGGGAATGCAAAGAAAAATCCCCTCTCAAGAGCCACACAACCATTTTATGTTTATAATGTGGATTTTCAGCTCAGTATTCCCCTTGGAGTTTATGCAGAGAGAATGCAGAGTTTTCTGCCTCCTTCCATTGTCAGCTCTTGTGTTGCTCGTGCCTGTTATTCCCAGCTGTGGATCATGGAACCTTGGGATGGATTGGCCGGTGTGATGTAACATTGGCCATGGACATACCCGTTCCATGGAGGTTTTGTAGCTCTCATCCTTTTAAAAAATATGTTTCCTGGGTTCTGTTTTTTGGTAGAGGTCACATTTTTGTCCTGGGACCAACAGGTGAAAAACTATTGTGTAAAAAGCTTTGTGCCACGAGGGCCCTGTTCTACCTCATGTGCCAACCAAAGCACAGAATTCACTTCCACATCTCAGTCTGCTTTTCCTCCTCTTCATTTCTCCACGAGGAAGTTTAGTTTTCCTCAATCATTTCAAGCTGTGTGCTTAGGAAGTCAGGTAAAATGTAGTTCACACAAAAACATGAATTTTGGTGCTTGTTCCGTGACTGTTCAGAGGTTATTCTAAATATTCAATTTCCACATTGATAATTGTTTTGTCTTCACGACTGTTCCAAATAATCTCTTTCCCAGACTATTAATGGATAGCTGAAATGTGTTTTTGCTTCAAGGCATCTCTTCTTCTCATTCCACTCTATCCTCAGTATCTCTACCACAGAAAATATATTTAGTTTCAAAGTTATCTTGGGAACTATTAGTAAGTGCAGTCAAATTCATTTGGTGTCTGCATAAGTAAATATGAATATCTAGACAGAGGCTATGATTGTGTACCCTAAATAAGATCTATTTTTCATTATTTAAGCCCCAAAGATGACTGAATTTTCATATTTTATTTTTTGTTTCTCTAAGCAATGTAATACATGACTTTGTTTTATTCTCAGGAACAATTATCACTAAAAAGTAGCAGTTAGAGAGGGCTCTTCCAAATTCTGCTAAGCAAGAGGGTGATATCAGCAATTATAATTATTATCAGCAATAGAAAAAAATATATGTTTAACCAAAGACCAGTGTCTTCACTGGAAAACCAATGGCAGTGCCAGTGCTGCTTCTGGTTATACCCCAGTATAATATCCAAGCCCAAGAGCCAAGAGAATAAATTTCCACATAATATCTTATTTTATTATGTTATATTATTATATATTTCCACACAATTCATTATCTTATTACTTAAAAATTGCCCGTGAAAACATTCATGGGAACACGACTAAAATATTCACAATAGAAAATACATAAAACCAAAATGTTATTCAAATAAAATAATATATACAATCACAACAGACTGTTCAGCTCCAGCAGACACACTGGATTGTCTGCTTTTTTTTCCAACTGGATAGTTTATTTAATTAACCGAGATGCAGCGAATTTGAAATTGTATATTAGAATGCCAAAATTAGATGGTTAGGAAAAAAAAAAGGATATGGTTTAAGTTCTTATTCACTGCTAGGAAAAGTTTTATTGCAGAATTAAAAATTGCAGTTGGCACTTTTTTAACATTCATTTTGTCCACGAAAAGTGTTTTCCCTGACTGCGGAATAATTGACTGTGGAATTCCTTGACCTGCTGGAATAATTTTTTTGAATCTTTCTAAAATTCAAATGAACACACTTGCAAAAAATTATTTTTGCTCCCGTGCAACTTTTCACAACAATACTGAAGATTTTTTTTTGTGTGTGTCATTTTTTGTCATCTGGAAACACACTGAGTACTTAACAACAAGAAATCTAAATGTGCTTTTTGTACATTCAGTCTTTTACAGTTTAAACAGAACAGGCATGTACAAAGTCCCTTTTTTTATAGATAATTTGATGCAAACTTTATTTTTCAGCTTCTACCAGGAATTGTACTTTGCTGCATTACACCTCTTGATCCCACTTATCTGCATAATTCAAATGCAACCCTGAAAGATATAAACAGAGTGACAGTTCTTAAACATATTTTCTGATAATCAGCACAAACTATTACTTGAACCTATTCAATAACATCACCCTGACAGACGGGATTCAATGACCCTCAATAACAAACAGATACAATCTCATTGTGAAAAACTCTCTGCTGACATGATTGTTGCTGAGCTCTGCCTGGGCTTGACTGCAATATGGCACACGTTGGCTCCAGGAGATGATGATGCTCGGGGACACTGAGATAATGCAGCACCCAAATTGGGCAGCCCAAGTTTCTGTCACGAAAAAAAAAATAAATCCCCAAATAGTAAAAAAGATGCGCGAGTACAACCAGGAGACAAATAAATTGTCGAGCATGGTGGTTTCTTAGCAAGGATGTAGCTGTTAGTTTGTGGAAATTTCTTTGCTGGGGCAGATTCTTTGGTGGCTCTTGGGCGGCTCAGTTTGGTGTCCAGTTCTGTCAGGAGAGTGGACCATGGTAGAGGTGATTGGCACCCAAAATCTCTGCAAGTGGCTCTCAGGGAGAGTTCTCCTTCCAAAGGATCTGGCAAACCAAGCTGATTCCTGAACCATGACAGTGGCGTGTTGTCCATATGGATATTTAGTGGCCAAAAATCCAAAGTGACTTGAGAATATCAGATTCCCTGAGCTGTTGGGGCAACATGTGTTGATCACAAGATGATAACAGTTCCTGGCCAGGAGGGTTAATGTTCCCACCTTCTGCCCTTCCTCTCTTGGTCTGAGCTCTGAATTTCAGAGAATGTGGAACATTGTGAAATTATTGGGTGTTTGGTGGGGCAAAACTACTGGAAGGGAGAATAACACAAATGATGTTTAACACTCCTGTTGCATCATTGTCAGTCTTTGGTGATGCTGATGATTATTGGCCAGATTTGACCCAGACTGTGCCCTTGGTGTCCTGGAGGTTTGGGGGTAGAGATGTGATCCTTTTGTGTGTGTTTCTCCTCCAAAGAAAAACACACCTAAACAACGAAAATAGAATAAAATGCAATTTTTTTTGTATCTTTGGGAAAGGTATTTTTATTTACAGTGAGAAACTTCCCAATGTCTTCAATCAGATTGAATGAGGTAAAATAACCATTTAAAAAGTGCCCAGAAGGACAATGCTCTTGTACTTGGAGAGCAATAAAGATTTTTGTCCAAGATCCAATGCTTCTTAACATTGATATTCCCAGTGCATTCAGATGTCGAGGGGTTTGGGTTTGTTTGCCCACATCATGCAGCAGAGCCCAGGATTGTATAAAACTTCATTATTACAAGCAGGTTAGAAACACAGAGCTTGTTTATGAATAAATAATTCTGAATCTATTCTGCAAGGTAGGAAGGACACCCAGGACATTCAACATCTCTGAGGATGCCGTGAGCAGGAAGTGGATGTGGCAGGAAAACAGATTTATGGTCAGGTAAATATAGGAAGAAAATGACATGCACAATAAATGGCATTACTGGGGTTTACATCCAAGGCAAAGCCAGAGCCATTGAGGGCATCCACAGGTTAAAATTCAGCACGGATAGAGAAGTGCAATATCTTGAGTTATTTCCATTACTGGTGAGATAAAAATCAATATCCAAATACTTCCTTACTGGCAAAAAGCCACTGAAAATACTAATCTGCTGTATAATATAAAATCCAGTGTCATTAATTTGAGAGAGGATACAAAACTACGTTCTGCCTTCAAAGAGCTGCTTCTGTTGTTTCCTGAAACGCGGTTTCCACAAAAATATTTCATGGAGAGATGAATCCATTGGCTGTTTGCTTTGCTGGCCTGGAAGGGGCCGCTCTGTCTGTCGTGGTCCCCCATCAATCCAGGGGCCCCGGGGGGGATGCTTGGATCTCGTTATCAGGGAGGGATTGCCGGGAAAAGGATGTTAAATCCATAAATGCCGCGGTCTAGAACCACCTGCCCTGGGTGATGTGTGAATAACCCAATTAATACAAGTTTTCTGGAGTTGGTGCAGGCACGTGGGATGGTGGGAAAGCCCTGCCCACCCTCTCTGCTCTCACAGAAATAGTCTCTCTTACCTCTGAAGTTTCCCCCTCTCCTGCAGCAGAGCCAGGGGTCAGGCACACAAAGGTGCTGTCCCCTGATTGCAGCAAACACCGCCATGTGTTGTATGTTTGATGAATTAAAAGGATGCTGCCAACTTAATTACACTGTAACCCTTCAATAAAGGAAGGGCAGAGCTGATTAACTAGTGAATAATTGGGGGCTGATTGATGGCTTTCTCCCTCACTGCTAAAGGCTGTATATATAATTATTTTGCCTGTGGGCCTAATTTTGCCACTGTTAGCTTCCACTTTTGTCATCAGCTGTAATTTATGGATGGGGCCTGAAGCCTTAAAAAAGGCTGGAAAATGAAATAGCCCCAAATCCCCAGATATGTCACCTGGAAATGGCCAGCAGGCAGCCTTTAACGTCAACATTTGCAGCCATTTAGCAGCATTAACACCTCGTGCTTAGCTGGAAAATAATATTATCATTTGTCAACAACTATCATAATATAGATTTTTTTCCTGACACGTAATAAAGTTGCATCACTCACACCAATGATTTAATATATGTTTAAAATGCAAGATCAATTTGTTGCAACTGAATAGCAAATTCTTCTAGTAATGCACCAAAAGAAAATGAGAGCTGGAGGAGGAAGACCCACATCCCCTCATTGCATTGGAGGGTTGGTTACAGAATTAGTATCTAAGTCTCTAACAAACTCCCAAAATCACAGAAACTCAGATGATTTGCGAAACTTATTTTTAAAAAACGTTAAAAGATTTTTTTTTTTCCTTGAACTTTGAAAGATGCAGTAGCAGCTTCAAAGAAAACATAGTTAATAAAGCACCGAACTTCTCTCCACTGTAGTTAAAAAATGTTGTGGGACAATTTTCTGTCCCAGACAGACAGTTTTCTGTGACTGTCAGTCAGCAGAGCTGCACATGAGCCCGTGGAGCTCTGCAGGTTTGCATGGGATGGAGATCTGGCCCTTTGTATTTTAAATTGAAATAAGATTTCTTACTTTTTTTTTTAGCGAGACAAACCCTGATCATTAATGCCACAAAGTAACAGCAGAAGCCAACGTGTTCTGAAGGATTGAATTGCTTCAGTGGCAAAGAGGAGAGACACCCCCCCAAAATTCAGCCTGGTTGGGGAAAACAGAAGATGCTGATTAGAGCTGCTCCAGTGACTGCCTGGTTTATATTCCACAAAGATTTATTTCAATAAAGTAATAACAACTTAGATTCACTTTTCTTTTTTTTTTTTCCTTAATTCCATTTTTTTTTCCTAACCCATATTTAAACGTCGTGGAGAGGAGGCTTCTAATTTCTGAAGCCAAGATATACAAATCCTCTGTCTCAAATTTCCTTTGTTGTTTTGTCCTCGTGGAGCCCTCCCTTGCCTGTGAATCACAGAAAGATTTGAAGAACCTTTCAGTCAAAGCTCAGTTTTGTGCCAGTGGGCACTGGCCAGGAAAAAAAAAAAAAAAGAAAAAAAAAAAAGATTGATATTTGCCCTCTCTTCTTATCTGCACTTGATTTATAAGTCAGTGCGAGTATGCAAGAGAAATAAAGGCAAAGACCTTGATGCCTCCCTGTGGAGAATATGCACCATTTGGATTGAAGGCATGAAAGAGGAGAAATTAATGGTAAGCTGTTCATCTGTCACTACTGCCAGGCTGATGGTTTTGCAGAGAAGGAGAGGACTGGATGACATGCCCTCCAGTCAAGGGCATGACTGCCCGCTGTTCTCATATTATAAACACAGTGCTTTGGGTTTCCGAGGGATTTAAATTTAAATTATACTGTACTTTGGATAGGCAAATCTTTACACAAGTTTATTTTCTTGAAGTATTAACATGCAGGATTTCGCTGGCTTTATGTGGAAGAAAAATAAAAATTAAGTCCCTCTATTTGATAAAAATGTGTAGCAGACTCTTAAAATGTCTCCGTGTTTTTAAAGCAGTGTGTTAGAGTGTAATGAGATTTAAATTTATATATGCATTGAAGATTTAGGCACGGGCATAAATAGATAAGCTTTAGTTATTCTACTTTCTGGCACACAGGGAAAGATTAAAAAGTTCAAAATAGGAGTTGGATATTTTTTTTCCTATTAAAATGATATAATGCCAAGGGCTGCTATCGATGACAACATTAGGGACACATCTGGAGGGGAAAAAAAACTGACACAAAACTTTCATGTTGTGCTAAAAGACACAAAAAAATGTACTTATTGCTAAATGGCTCCTTGTCAGGGCTGAGCATTTGTGCTTTTCTTGCTGCTTTTGGAATGTTTTGGTTTGCTCAGCTCCTCAAGATGCTCCTGCGACTCCGACGTGTGTCACAAACGAGATCGGGGTTAATTGGAGCGATTTTGGGGGCCTGGCACGGTTTGGGTGAGTGCACATTCCCTGAGAACTGGTTTGCACTGCATCCAGGTTCAGAGTTCAGATTTGGTGATGTTACTGCCACCCACACCAGCTATTTAAAACCCTCTTTGCTGAGCTCCAGCAGTGGGCTGGGAATTCCTGTTTGCCTTTAAGAAAAAAGGAAAAGTTGAGTTGCTTGTCCACTGGTTTCAAGTTACTTTGGGTTTTATAAACCAGAAGCCAAAATAAGAGACTCTCCCACTTACTTCTGTTAAAATCTCTGAATTTGGAGCTAAGTTTATTATTTTCTGGGGCTTGAACCATGATTCCTGAAATCCTGGTTTATGCAGCAGATTCCAGTGATAATAATTGTGCTCAAGTAAAGTGACGTTTGCTCTTCCTACAGAAAAATCAATGACTTGCATGTCAATTCTGAAAGATCCGTGAATCCTCCACACACCTGGTAAAGGTAAACCAGTCAGAGAAGAGGAGATGGAGTTTGCTCAGGTATGAGATGGTGCTCCAGAATCTTCAGGAAGGATGGGACATCCTTCCTTCCAGCATGACTGGAATCTCTCAAAGCCATGCAAACCTCAAGGGGCTCAGCAAGGCCAAGTGCAAAGTGCTGCCCCTGGGTCAGGGCAATCCCAAACACAAACCCAGGCTGGGTGGAGAAGGAATTGGAGGTGTTGGTGGGTGAGAGGCTGGAGATGCCCCAGCTCAGAACCACCCCCGTGCCCTGGGCTCATCCCCAGCGTGGGCAGCAGGGCGGGGGGGATTCTGCCCCTCTGCCCCCTTGGGTGAGACCCCACCGGCAGAGCTGCCTCCAGCCCCAGGGAACAACAGCAAAAGGACGTGGAGCTGCTGGAGGGAGTCCAGAGGAGGCCCCGGAGCTGCTCCAAGGGCTGGAGCCCCTCTGCTCTGGAGCCAGGCTGGGAGAGCTGGGGGGGTCACCTGGAGAAGAGAAGGCTCCAGGGAGACCTGAGAGCCCTTTGCAGGGCCTAAAGGGGCTCCAGGAGAGCTGGAGAGGGACTTGGGACAAGAGATGGAGGAATAGGACACAGGGAATGGCTTCCCAGTGCCAGAGGGCAGGGATAGATGGGATATTGTGAAAAAAAATCCTTCCCTGTGGGGGTGATGAGGCCCTGGCACAGGTTGCCCCGGGAAGCTGTGGCTGCCCCATCCCTGGAAGTGTTCTAGACCAGGCTGGATGGGGCTTGGAGCAACCTGGGATAGTGGATGAGGCTGTAATGTCCCTTCCAAGCCAAAGCATTCCAGGATTCTATGCTCTTTTTAACCTTTTCTCTCTCCCCACACTGTTGCCAGAGGTCTAACCCTGCCTCTCACTGCAGGGCTGTGGCACAGAGGCTTTGCTTTCCTGGGCTCCTTGTCCTCTGAGCCGATTCACCTCCTGCCTGAGGGCTTTGCTTCCTTGGGCACCTTAATCAACCTTCTCCATCACCAGGATAACCCTCAGCAGGGTGATTTCCAGCCCTGAGTGAGGAGGAGCCAGGTGTTCACAGTCCTGTGAAAATTAGTTGACCAAAGATATCCTGCAGTCACCAGGGCTGAGAACAATCCACCCTCATGAATTTACAGCTGCTCTTATCTCCCTGCTGCTGAAGCATCTCCTCTGCAGCAGTGACAGGCTCCGTGCTTTCACTCCCTGCTTGAATCTGCCTGGAGTTTTGGCAGACTTCAAATGTTGCAGGGTATATTTTCTGTGCCAGCTGTGAGTTAAGTTAAGCAATTTTTTTAGAAGCTTTTGCTAAAATGAGTCAGATTTTTTTTTTCCTTTTTCCCCTCTATTAAGAGATTGTGGGAAAACGTATTCTTTCACAGTCTTCAAAATTATCCTAATTTTCTTGAGCAACTCCAGTTCCTCCAGGCTCCAGAGCAGGTAGTTCGTTACTTTGACGGGTTGTGGGGATTTTTTTTTTTTTAATTTTTTTTTTTTTTGTTCTTGTCAAAAAAATCCTCCTGTGCCCCAGTTTATCTGCATGTTAAAAATCTGTTTGCACTTGCTGAGTCCATCTGCACTGAGGCTGAGCCGTCTCCTGGCAGCTCCACACCACCAGAGTGTGGCAGTTCCACACCCAGACGGAGCAGATCCGGGTCCCTCCGAGGGGGTGAGGAAGGGGCACCACCCCCTCTGCTCTCAGGTCACCCCTTGCTGCTTCAGGGACAGCTCAGAACCCACTGAACTGAGCGTGATTTTTCCCCTGCCCTGAATATTTGGGCGAATTACGTGTTTTCCGTGGCGATAGGGGACGTACAAAAAGCTGTTTGCTGTCACAAAGCACGTGGTGGGCTCGGGCACAGGAGGTGGCAGGACAAGTCTGGAGGTCCCAGTTTTGCTGATGAAGTGAAGGGAGGTCCTGTGGTCCTGCAGGCTGAACGTTTTTCAGCTTTGACTTGTTGGTTGGTTGGGAAATGGGACGTGACAGAGAGTGAAAGAATACAAAGGGTGTGAAGTTAAGGACTGAAAAGCAGGAAAATGCTAATGCAGTCATACATAGATATATTTATATGACTTTTGTTATTTGCTGTGCACTAAAATGTGTTCTGGGGTTGTTCAGTCTGGACAAAAGGAGGCTCAGGGGGGACTTTATCGCTCTCTACAAATATCTGACAGGAGGGGGGAGCCAGGGGAAGGTCAGGCTCTGCTCCCAGGGAACAAGGAACAGGATGAGAGGAAACGGCCTCAAGTTGTACCAGAGGAGGTTCAGTTTGGATATTAGGAAAAATTTCTTCATGGAAAGGGTTGTAAAACCTTGGAAGAGGCTGCCCAGGGCAGTGGTGGAGTCCCCATCCCTGGAAGTGTTCAAAAAGCTTGTGGATGTGGCACTTGAGGACATGGTATAGTGGTGAACATGGGGATGATTGGTGGTTGGATTGGTGATCCTAAAGGTCTTTTCCAACCTTAATGATTCCAGCTGTGGCTGTCCCATCCCCAGAAGTGTCCAAGGCCGGGTTGGATGGGGCTTGGAGCAACCTGGTCAAGTGGAAGGTGTCCTTCCCCATGGCAGGGGGGTAGAATGGGATGGGCTTTAAGTCCCTTCCAACCCAAACCATCCTGTGATCCCACAATTTACGGTGTGTTCACCAACTGCAGACAGCAACAAAACAAAAATCCTGCTTTATTTCCATGCACAGTCATTCCCAGGCACTTACAAGCCTGGGTTTCTCTGGGAAAAAAAAACAAAAGAAAAGCTGTCTATGAGCAAGTAATTAACAACCCCATCATGGTAAAGACAGGCAAGGGCCAAATTAAAGTTGCAGAGGGACCTTTAGTTCCAGCATTTCCCAGCTATTGAGCACTGCAGTGTGTGGTATTAGGAGCCTTTTAGCCCAGTTTTGTAGATAAGGAGGTACCAACATGAACTGAGATGCTGCATACGAAGGCACCAGGGCAGGGAAAGCACAGGAAAAGAGGGAAACTGTGAGAGGTGTTGTTGTACCACGGTGGGAAGCTGGTTCTGTTCCATATTAATTGGGAGGTGGGTCCAAAGTGGAGCAGCCCAGCCAGCATGTGGACCAAACTCAGGCTGGTTTAAGGGTGGCTTGCCAGCATCCTTAAAAGCCGGTGTTTTCGGATTTTTCCACTATTTTTTAACTTCTTATTTTTAGTTCTCTCTTTACCACCGAATTCTCGACGTTATCTTTGAAAAAAACCCCAACCCTATCAACATTAATGGAATATCAATACCAAAAAAAAAAGTAAAAAGTGACTTCATTTCCTGTTCAGCTTCAGAGCAAAATCCTGAAGTTTCTGTGCCTGGGGTGGCCTAGTTATGAAAATATTTTGGAATTTTTGG